TTTGTGTGTGTGTACATGTACATATATATATCTACAGAGAGAGAAAGAGAAGAGTCGATACAGAACAAGGCTGCACGGCTCGCGTGTTCTATCTCGTGTTTTTGATTATGTCTGGCTACGTACACGAGTCGTGACTCCGCGTACAAATCAGTCGATTATAGTTCCTTCGTGCACCAGTCGAACGTATTCTTCTTTCTTCATCCTTACCCCTTTTATACCCTGTCACTCCCTCTTCCCTACGTACGAGTTATACAGCGACTATAATGCTGGGCAACTACGACGATGGGGACGACAATTGAATTCTCGACAGCGACCATGTGAACTTAACTTTTAATTTACGTACGAGAGACAAAAATTGATCTTTTCTTTCTATAATTGCTATCTATTAACTGCAGAAATATTTTATTATTAAAATCTTTGCTAACGTTTTGACTCATGCGTTATAATTGTAATAAGCTAATAAGAAATAAAGCATTTTATTTCGGACTTTTCGTTATATTTTGTGGCCTCTATAAATATATATTAAATTAATCCTCTGTAGTTCAATGGTTTTTTTTTTACTGTTTTCCTTGTCTAACCGGATATTGTGGATTGATTGTGTTTTTCAGAAAGAGTTTTTGGACTCTAAAAAATTCTGATACACTTTCAACATTCAAGAATTACGATAGGACTCAAAACTTTCACTTTTGCTGTACGTGCATGTCCGAATTTGAAAATAATTTAATAATTCAAAATTGAATATTTATATAGGTTTTTAAAGCCTCGGTTGGATCACGAAGGATTATTAGGAAAATACCGATACATTTTGTGTTTGGGTTATAAATGTGAGATAAGGTATAAGTGTTGTAATTTATTTATATCTATGAGTATACACCATCACGTCAATTTGATAATTCATTCAAATAAAACTTTCTGGTGTGTGTTTGTCATCGAATTTTTACATTTACGCCGGCCGATTCCCGTGTTGAAATGGATGCTGTTCGTACATTTGTATCATTACTTAACGCGTTTATTTCCGTGCTCCTGCAAGAGAGCACAGAGTTGTCCTTCTCTTTTACGATCTAATTCGTGATCTGGACAGTTCCCAACGATGAGTTCTCGTGACTGCGCGATGCCCAAGTATACCCGGTATAAGAGGAATGACTAAATGGTCTGAGTAACCGGTCAGGCATCCCAAAACTCGCGATTTATTTTCGTATCCTTAGAAAAGAACTGACGCACCGATGGAGAGAAAGTACTGTTCTCGTTGTATGAATTCAAAGAAATACCCTGCTGGTGAACCAGCACGAATTCTTTACGAAAATCCGCCGAAAAGACTATATAATTTTAGTAATTATAACCACAGTCTTATTTCATATATTATAATATTAGAATTATTAGTTAGCATTCTTCAAATTTAATTAGAATCATTGTATATGAGTATCTCTTTAATATTCGATCAGTAACTTCTTTTTTTTTATGAATCCGCATTACTGATCTTGGAAAAGATAACAATTTTGCGATTTGATAATAAATCTAAAAAGAAATCTTTTAAATTGAAGAATTAAATAATTATATTTCTTCGCGAAATGCGATATATATATGTAGAAGGGTGAGAAATTTAACCGAGCGATCGACTGGACAATTTCCATCGGTCCTGGGATGGCTATATCGCCTTCATGTTAGGACGTATATCTCCGGGATTCGAGGCTGGGATACGATGCGTTAAGGGTAGTAGCAACGGCAGCCGGTAGGTTACCGCAGAACAGAGCAAAGGAGGCCCTGCGGGCGAAGAGCGAAAGGGCTTCGTCGCTATGGAAACCCTGGCTCTTCGACTACTGTGGGGTGCCTCAAGTTTTTTATGGGCTGAACGATCGTAAGGGTAAAGGGATCTCTAAAAATCGTTACACAGACCTAGATACTCGCCACCTCGCCCCTCCGAGCGAGACAGCCGCCCTGTAATATTCGCCACCCTTCCGGTCACGGACCTTACGCAATAGCGTTTCCGCACTGCGTTGTTTCGCTAATTATTATCAAACAATTTTTTTTAAAGTGTAGATATCATTCTTAGATATCATATTTTAGATTCTAAATATTCTGCGTTGAAAACATTTATATCTCGCGTCTCATATTTTAAGTTGTGATTGTTTAACTCAGAGATTTATCTAAGAATTATTCATTTTTTGTGTGAATTGGATACGATTACTTTTTGCAACAACACAGCAAGTTTTTATCTTGCTAGACATCTTGACCCAAAATATGCACATATCGCGAATTATTTTACAGGTTTATAATTATCTTATAAGAGTCTTAATTCTTGCTATATAAGAGAGATTTAAATATCTTATATTATTTTCTAATTATATACGCCTCCAACAATAAATAATAAGTATGACGAAGATTACATAAATATTTCATAATCTTTAAATTATCTTCAAAATACTCAAAATATCAATGCGATTTATTCTTAATAATCAAATATGCGATATAAAAACGTACCTTTCTTTTATAAATTTTTTAATTTCTTCGTGACATAAAATTTACAATAATTTTCATAAAGTTTTTAATTTAATATATTCTTATATTCAAGTTTGCACTCTCTCCATCAAAATAATATGCAAATATAGTAAATTGACAAATTCAAATTAACAATTGTTCTTATATAATACGTAATTAAAATTTGAAAATTGAATTATTTTCTATGATTAAATTGTCAAATCAATTTCTTGTTATTTAATAATAATGTTAGTAAATTTCTCCTCAAGTCATTCTCTTTTACATGCTCTAGGCTTCGTATATGTAGAGGACATTCGCAGATCGACAGAACTCACTATACGTAGGTCGTACTTGCGTGCGGTGATGGGCAGAAAGGGCATGAGGAGCGATGTAAAGCCCCTGGTGCTCTTGGCACCCTCCGCGACGGCTTCTAGCGAAGGGAGTGGCGCGACGAGGGGGTGATAGCGAAGTACAAGCAAGCGAGCGAGTTCACTTCGAACTATAAAGTATTGACTCGCCCCGTTGTATGGAGAGCACTGTAAGCACCGTGTCTATAATGTTGGCAGACGGCTCTCGGGACTCGCCTCCGTCCGGAAGGAATAACGCGACTTCCGGGAGCGAGGAAGTAAATTTTACTGTGCAACCATCCGAACTGTGGAGCTTTACGCTTGTA